CGCCGCCCTGAGTCCCGCTGGGAATAGGGTGGCATATAAATAAAATGAACCTCGAACCTCGAACCTGTTAGCGAAAGGAAGGAAGAGTTAGCATTAGCCCCAGCTTGCAAGTTGACAATACTGTTTGTTGTTGGGCACGATCAAGTAAGTAAATCCACAAATTGCAGTAAATAAATCCACAAACATGGGGGGCAATTCTTCAGAGGTGGAAAACCTATTTTCCATGGGATCCATGTTCCTATTGGTAGGCCCAAAATTCCACTTCTGAACTTCAGTAGCAAAAGGGCCAAATTTTGAGAGCACCATTTGGCCCATTTTCCAGGTTTGGAGGTGATTTTAAGTTGTGCACAACAGAGATGTTTGCCTTTGGAGAGGATTCTTAGTGTCCTTACCACCCTTAAAACCCAATTTAAAAATCACAAAGTGACCTGAAAATTGTCCACTGTCCAATTTGGATGCAGTTTCAAGGGCGAGAATAGGAGTGGTTTCTGCTAACATACAAGTTGGATTTGGTTTCTTATTAATTAATTCAAGCCTTGAGTCATTTATTTTGGAAATGTCTTAGATGACAAATAAGGATGCTATTTAGTTCTCTTCCCAGCAGTTGTCCAGTTCTTACTACATGTCCTTGAATTAGTTGAACTATATGTGTGTGCTCTGGTTCTTAATCATCTACTCACTCTTCCACACATACCCCATTCCTTTAATTTTTCAGCTAGCACTGATATTTAGAAACCATCTCTGCCATATGAGGGAAAACAACATACTCAGCCAGAAAACCTGCAGAAAAGAGTCTGGTTAGATGGATCCTGGCAAGCTGAAGCCAAGCACCATTAGATTCACTTTGTTGAACCCTGCCAGATCTCAGCTCCAATCTTGCAATGGAGCAGTTAAGTACAGGACGTATTAAACTGCCGTTTAATGAGACCTCCAAAAACTGACAATGGCTGAAATTCCTGGCCAGTGTAAGAATACACTCTCTCTGGCCCTGTAAAATAGAACTTCTACTGATGTAACAACATTGTATGGGTCGTATTTTCTTCTCTTCACTGTTATCGCCTCGCTGCTTACCAGCCCAGTGTGACTACTAGATGTCTTATTATCCTCTTAGTGATATAGAGATGGAATCCTGCTTTTGTAACTTGGATCGTCTGAAGCAAATATCCAGAAGAGGTTAAAATTAGTATAAAGGAAGACAAGGATCCTGTGTCTATAATAATACTGCTAGCCACACAAAGATTTAGCTGCTAAGGAGAGACATTCAGTGTCCATCACTTCCAATCCTCTCCTCTCTTTTTTTTTTGACTGGTCAAACACAGACTTCATTGATCAATTACAATAGATAGATAGTCAACCAANAAACCTCACAGAGATATCTGGGGACGGGAAGAATGGAAGACCGTAACAAGCAAAAGGAAAGGGGGACAGATTCCAGAAACGCCAAAGGATAAAAAAGAGGGATGGGGGGGGGGGGAGGGAATGACCTTGCTATACCATTGAATCCCATCACAGATGCTGGACCTCGTCTCAATTTAAAACAAGCGAGAAGCTCAAAGTAGGAGGAACAGGGGTGCAATTTGGGAAGGGAGAGAGGGAGAGAGACAATGCATAAAAAGAGCGAGTGAGGCAGATCTTCCTGAGATTTAACCCTCAACCGTACAAACTTGCTGGTTTGAAGCAAGCACCAAAGGAGTTAAGTGCTGGAGGACCGATGCTTTAATCAGCTTTGCCCCTTTCCTTCACATGGGATTGGAGTCAACCTGCAATGGAAGAGCCCAAGGGGTTTATAACAGCTCAATTTCGCAGGATTCAGTTTTAATCCGTCGCCAAGGTTAAGCAGCCAAGACTGTGCAAGGACTGCTACTCAGCAGCCGTCCAGGCACCTGGCTTGCCGTTAGCACCACCGTCTTCGTTGTCGGCCTCGGATGCCTGGAGATGGCTGGACAATTCTTGGATGACGGCTACTTTCCCGATCTGATCGTTCCTTCGTTTCTCCATAATGAGATCTTCCAGGCTCTGAAACTCCAGCGTGTGACTGCGTTTGTCCCCCAGCTGGATCTGCAACCGGTAAGGTTGCTTCCCTATGCGCAGTTCGCCCCCGATTTTGAACTCGCGCTTGCCGTAACGGCACCAGGCGGCAAAACACTCGGAGTTCCTCCAGCTGAGATCCTGGTCTTTGCGGCCCACCTGATCCAGGGCGTTCCGTACCACGCTGGCGGGGTTTAGCGGTTTGTAGCGGTACAAGTGGTTCGCGATGCGGCCCCGTCGGCCCTGGCTGGCGTCGGTGAGAAAACTGTTCACCACTTCAAGTCTGTGAAGGTGGACGACTTGGAAGTCTCCTACGTACACCGCCCAGTGTGGGTACTGGGCCTGGCACACAAATTCTATCAGGTCGCCAGCTTTGCACTTGTTCAGTAGGTTTTCTGGNTTTTCCAAAGCACCTGAAGGCCAGACAAAGAAGAATGGATGGAAACCAGTTCACTCCCAGTTGATCGTCAGAGCTACCAGTTCACCCAAACTGGTAGAATCCTACCCCTGTCTGTGTCCAATCTGGATGAGGATGTCACTATTTGTGAAGTTTTATTTTTAAACAAGGTATTTTTCCTCATAAACACAAATCAGTTTGATGGTAGGAAAAATGCTGTTGTAATCACCTACATGGATTTTTTTTTTTTTAAAAAAAGGGCTCCTTTTTCAACAAATTGAGGGTGGAATTACATCTTTTGACCTTCACATAATTTTGTGACCAAGATGGCAAACAGAAAGCTTTTATAAAGATAAGATAATGTTCTGATGTTCTTCAATAATGTCTGACCACATCAACATAACTATGGGAACTACTTAATAATGATAATAATAATAATAATAATAATAATAATAATAATAATAATAATAATAAACAAAACATCTCAGAATTTTTGAATGATTTGTGTCACTATACTTCAAGAAATAAATTTGATCTGAATTTGACCAGCTGTCCAGCAGTGAAAAAATATTCAGATAACGAAGATCTTGTCTTTAGGAAGAAAAATGGTAAATTAGTTCTTTCCCCTTTAACTATCTCTAATATTCTAGGCAGAGAAAAATATTTTCAGTCACTTTACAATTTAGTACCAAAGAGATAGATTTGCAATGTTTGACACCTATCGTTTCTTGTACACTTTATTTATGATCTAGAAAATACTTTTCGATTACCAATGACAAAAATAAACAAAAATTGATTTGGAGGATATATTTCTCTGTGAAAATAATACAACTTTCAAAAATGTAAATATTTTCATGATGGAATTCCTTTCAAAAATACTTGTAAGAAAATATCATTTTACAACCACTATTACATAGCGAAATAAGTTTTGTTCTCTACAAAATTCAGAATCATTAATAACTAAATATCAACTCTGAAGCTAGGATACAGTTGCTGGATTTAACAGGAAGAACATCATCTTGGCCTCTTTTAATAGCAGTAAACATTTACTGGTTTTTAATGAGTTCTCCATGCTGATCAGTCTTAAAATGGAAAGGAAGTCCTGCTTGTGGTGTATTCCTGGGAAATAGATGCAGATTTTTTTTTCCACTGCAAATTTTCCTATTATGGTGACAGCTGTAGAAGCTTTGATGAACATCCATCAGAAGTGCCTCCAGATGCCCTCACCAGTACTGCTTAAGGACCTGTTCTGCTTGTCAATAGCCAAGTTCAGTACGTTCAGATTTTGTGCTTTAAAAACATACAATATTGCATATGAGCTTGACAATTGCGGTATGCAGAGCACATACCTCAGAATAACATCACGTTCCTAAAAAAAGACACCGTTTCCAACACAACAGATATCTCTTTGAGACCTTTTATCAACTCCGCTTATCGCAACTTCTGAACTCTTAGAAGCAAAAGGGGGGAGGGAAACCAAATTAGCGCTGGATTATCTCACTTTCTGCATCACTTGCTTCCCTCTTCCTTAATGCAAACAACCGCACGGTGCATTAGCAGAATAAACCAAAGTCCTTGAAGTTAAGTTGGTCTTTGTTTGGTATGCAAGAAATTTATGGGCTGACAAATGGCAGGTTATACCCTCAGCAGAATACAGTACTGTAGCAAATTCCCTGGATTGCCCCACTTTAAGGTGAGGAATTGAGGGGGGGGGGACGGATGAACCTGGTTTGGGTGTCCCAATATATAGGAAGCTAAAGTGAAGGTAAACTAAGCAGCAATAGATAGAAGGAATCACATTATTGTACAATTTTCCCTGCTAGGCATTTTTCAAAACACAGGAAGGATTTTTTTTGGGGGGGGGGGGTGAAGGGTAGGACTTTTTGATAGCAAAACAGTCTTTCGTCACGTGATTACTGACTTCTGGCTGAATGCTACAAAAATGGGCAACAGAGAGTGTATCCTTATAAGAGCAAGGACCATGAGCCTAAGCTCATTTCAGATGATCAGTGATTTGTCTAAAGTGATTTGTGGCTCCGTCTAAGCCACCGCTGGAACAAACGAAGTGCAGAGTGAAAAAGGAGCAAGACTTTGTATCACTGTCTGTCCTTCAATTATCAACCCACATCCATGTGTCGCTTACTCTAGTGGAATAACCAACCACCAAACATCAACTCAGCCCTATGCCAAAGATGGCAATCACATGCATGCGGTTAAAAAGCATCCCTTATATCAGTGATGGCAAACCTTTTCGGCACTGAGTGCCGAAACGGGAGTATGTGCGGGCGCAGGGGAGTGCCAGAAACCGGAAAAGCACCTCTCCAGCACGCACATAGGAAAGTGCTGAAAACCAGAAGAGCAACTCCCTGGCGCACATGCCACTTGGTCTTCTGTTTTCTGGCACGCATGCACGCGTGAAGACCAGCTGGGCAGCAGGCATGTGCATGCTGGTAACCGGAAGCTCAGCTTCCCAGTGCACACATGCGCACCGGGGAGCTGCTCTTCCAGTTTCTGGCACTCCCCTGCGCCCGCACATACTCCCGTTTCGGCACTCAGTGCCGAAAAGGTTTGCCAACACTGATATAAGGGATGCTTTTTAACCGCATGCATCTGATTACCATCTTTGGCATAGGGTTGAGTTGATGTTTGGTGGTTGGTTATTCCACTAGAGTAAGCGACACATGGATGTGGGTTG